AGTCATGCGGATTGATGACAGATGACCGTGGTGTAGCGGAGTCATGCTGATTGATGACAGATGACTGTGATGTAGCGGAGTCATGCTGATTGATGACAGATGACTGTGACGTAGCGGAGTCATGCTGATTGATGACAGATGACTGTGATGTAGCGGAGTCATGCTGATTGATGACAGATGACTGTGATGTAGCGGAGTCATGCTGATTGATGACAGATGACTGTGACGTAGCGGAGTCATGCTGATTGATGACAGATGACTGTGATGTAGCGGAGTCATGCTGATTGATGATAGATGACTATGACGTAACGAGGCATGCGGATTGATGACAGATGACTGTGATGTAGGGGAGTCATGCGGATTGATGACAGATGACTGTGATGTAGCGGAGTCATGCTGATTGATGACAGATGACTGTGACGTAGCGGAGTCATGCTGATTGATGACAGATGACTGTGATGTAGCGGAGTCATGCTGATTGATGACAGATGACTGTGACGTAGCGGAGTCATGCTGATTGATGACAGATGACTGTGATGTAGCGGAGTCATGCTGATTGATGACAGATGACTGTGACGTAGCGGAGTCATGCTGATTGATGACAGATGACTGTGATGTAGCGGAGTCATGCTGATTGATGATAGATGACTGTGACGTAACGAGGCATGCGGATTGATGACAGATGACTGTGATGTAGGGGAGTCATGCGGATTGATGACAGATGACTGTGATGTAGCGGAGTCATGCTGATTGATGACAGATGACTGTGGTGTAGCGGAGTCATGCTGATTGATGACAGATGACTGTGATGTAGGGGAGTCATGCTGATTGATGACAGATGACTGTGATGTAGGGGAGTCATGCGGATTGATGACAGATGACTGTGATGTAGGGGAGTCATGCTGATTGATGACAGATGACTGTGATGTAGCGGAGTCATGCTGATTGATGACAGATGACTGTGACGTAGCGGAGTCATGCTGATTGATGACAGATGACTGTGGTGTAGCGGAGTCATGCTGATTGATGACAGATGACTGTGATGTAGCGGAGTCATGCTGATTGATGAGAGATGACTGTGACGTAGCGGAGTCATGCTGATTGATGACAGATGACTGTGACGTAGCGGAGTCATGCTGATTGATGACAGATGACTGTGATGTAGCGGAGTCATGCTGATTGATGACAGATGACTGTGGTGTAGCGGAGTCATGCTGATTGATGACAGATGACTGTGATGTAGGGGAGTCATGCTGATTGATGACAGATGACTGTGATGTAGCGGAGTCATGCTGATTGATGACAGATGACTGTGATGTAGCGGAGTCATGCTGATTGATGACAGATGACTGTGACGTAGCGGAGTCATGCTGATTGATGACAGATGACTGTGACGTAGCGGAGTCATGCTGATTGATGACAGATGACTGTGATGTAGCGGAGTCATGCTGATTGATGACAGATGACTGTGGTGTAGCGGAGTCATGCTGATTGATGACAGATGACTGTGATGTAGCGGAGTCATGCTGATTGATGACAGATGACTGTGATGTAGGGGAGTCATGCAGATTGATGACAGATGACTGTGATGTAGCGGAGTCATGCTGATTGATGACAGATGACTGTGGTGTAGCGGAGTCATGCTGATTGATGACAGATGACTGTGATGTAGCGGAGTCATGCTGATTGATGACAGATGACTGTGACGTAGCGGAGTCATGCTGATTGATGACAGATGACTGTGATGTAGCGGAGTCATGCTGATTGATGACAGATGACTGTGATGTAGGGGAGTCATGCTGATTGATGACAGATGACTGTGGTGTAGCGGAGTCATGCTGATTGATGACAGATGACTGTGATGTAGCGGAGTCATGCTGATTGATGACAGATGACTGTGGTGTAGCGGAGTCATGCTGATTGATGACAGATGACTGTGATGTAGCGGAGTCATGCTGATTGATGACAGATGACTGTGGTGTAGCAGAGTCATGCTGATTGATGACAGATGACTGTGATGTAGCGGAGTCATGCTGATTGATGACAGATGACTGTGATGTAGCGGAGTCATGCTGATTGATGACAGATGACTGTGGTGTAGCGGAGTCATGCTGATTGATGACAGATGACTGTGGTGTAGCGGAGTCATGCTGATTGATGACAGATGACTGTGATGTAGCGGAGTCATGCTGATTGATGACAGACGACTGTGACGTAGCGGAGTCATGCTGATTGATGACAGATGACTGTGATGTAGCGGAGTCATGCTGATTGATGACAGATGACTGTGATGTAGCGGAGTCATGCTGATTGATGACAGATGACTGTGGTGTAGCGGAGTCATGCTGATTGATGACAGATGACTGTGATGTAGCGGAGTCATGCTGATTGATGACAGATGACTGTGATGTAGGGGAGTCATGCAGATTGATGACAGATGACTGTGATGTAGCGGAGTCATGCTGATTGATGACAGATGACTGTGGTGTAGCGGAGTCATGCTGATTGATGACAGATGACTGTGATGTAGCGGAGTCATGCTGATTGATGACAGATGACTGTGACGTAGCGGAGTCATGCTGATTGATGACAGATGACTGTGATGTAGCGGAGTCATGCTGATTGATGACAGATGACTGTGATGTAGGGGAGTCATGCTGATTGATGACAGATGACTGTGGTGTAGCGGAGTCATGCTGATTGATGACAGATGACTGTGATGTAGCGGAGTCATGCTGATTGATGACAGATGACTGTGGTGTAGCGGAGTCATGCTGATTGATGACAGATGACTGTGATGTAGCGGAGTCATGCTGATTGATGACAGATGACTGTGGTGTAGCAGAGTCATGCTGATTGATGACAGATGACTGTGATGTAGCGGAGTCATGCTGATTGATGACAGATGACTGTGATGTAGCGGAGTCATGCTGATTGATGACAGATGACTGGTGTAGCGGAGTCATGCTGATTGATGACAGATGACTGTGGTGTAGCGGAGTCATGCTGATTGATGACAGATGACTGTGATGTAGGGGAGTCATGCTGATTGATGATAGATGACTGTGATGTAGGGGAGTCATGCTGATTGATGACAGATGACTGTGATGTAGGGGAGTCATGCTGATTGATGACAGATGACTGTGATGTAGGGGAGTCATGCTGATTGATGATAGATGACTGTGATGTAGGGGAGTCATGCTGATTGATGACAGATGACTGTGGTGTAGCGGAGTCATGCTGATTGATGACAGATGACTGTGGTGTAGCGGAGTCATGCTGATTGATGACAGACGACTGTGACGTAGCGGAGTCATGCTGATTGATGACAGACGACTGTGACGTAGCGGAGTCATGCTGATTGATGACAGATGACTGTGATGTAGCGGAGTCATGCTGATTGATGACAGATGACTGTGATGTAGGGGAGTCATGCTGATTGATGACAGATGACTGTGATGTAGCGGAGTCATGCTGATTGATGACAGATGACTGTGATGTAGCGGAGTCATGCTGATTGATGACAGATGACTGTGATGTAGGGGAGTCATGCTGATTGATGACAGATGACTGTGATGTAGCGGAGTCATGCTGATTGATGACAGATGACTGTGGTGTAGCGGAGTCATGCTGATTGATGACAGATGACTGTGACGTAGCGGAGTCATGCGGATTGATGACAGATGACTGTGGTGTAGCGGAGTCATGCTGATTGATGACAGATGACTGTGATGTAGCGGAGTCATGCTGATTGATGACAGATGACTGTGACGTAGCGGAGTCATGCGGATTGATGACAGATGACTGTGGTGTAGCGGAGTCATGCTGATTGATGACAGATGACTGTGATGTAGGGGAGTCATGCTGATTGATGACAGATGACTGTGATGTAGGGGAGTCATGCTGATTGATGACAGATGACTGTGATGTAGCGGAGTCATGCTGATTGATGACAGATGACTGTGGTGTAGCGGAGTCATGCTGATTGATGACAGATGACTGTGATGTAGCGGAGTCATGCTGATTGATGACAGATGACTGTGATGTAGGGGAGTCATGCTGATTGATGACAGATGACTGTGATGTAGCGGAGTCATGCTGATTGATGACAGATGACTGTGATGTAGGGGAGTCATGCTGATTGATGACAGATGACTGTGATGTAGCGGAGTCATGCTGATTGATGACAGATGACTGTGATGTAGGGGAGTCATGCTGATTGATGACAGATGACTGTGATGTAGCGGAGTCATGCTGATTGATGACAGATGACTGTGGTGTAGCGGAGTCATGCTGATTGATGACAGATGACTGTGACGTAGCGGAGTCATGCGGATTGATGACAGATGACTGTGGTGTAGCGGAGTCATGCTGATTGATGACAGATGACTGTGATGTAGGGGAGTCATGCTGATTGATGACAGATGACTGTGATGTAGCGGAGTCATGCTGATTGATGACAGATGACTGTGGTGTGGCGGAGTCATGCTGATTGATGACAGATGACTGTGGTGTAGCGGAGTCATGCTGATTGATGACAGATGACTGTGATGTAGCGGAGTCATGCTGATTGATGATAGATGACTGTGGTGTAGCGGAGTCATGCTGATTGATGACAGATGACTGTGGTGTAGCGGAGTCATGCTGATTGATGACAGATGACTGTGACGTAGCGGAGTCAACAAAGTGACTATCATATCTGTAAACTTCACAATTATGAGATGTCAGATTTTATAACATGATGTTACAGTTTCTAAACACAGTAATAAGGTGTTTGTGGTATTAATGCATTTTTTGGAGTCATTTTGTTATTGTGTCTACGTTCTTAGGGTATTTTAGCCTGATATCATGATATAAATGTGCCATAGAATTTAAGAAAATGAAATAATTTTCCCTAAAATATCTTGAAATCAGCATTGCATTTACATTATGTTTTTGTAGAGTATATGTCATATGCTATAGTGGAATATTTGAGGTTGAAATGTGTGTTTTGTCATCAGGATTGGCCTGGCGTTTATGTGCTTGATGTCTCTGATTGTGGGCCTCACCATCACTTTTGCCATTGCATTTGCATCACGCACATGGCCACACTTTGGCAAAAGGTTAGTAGAGGAGGGGTTCCTCCATATTATTGTGAGGGAATATACGGGTGGAAAGAAGTAATGGAACAGCTGTTATTAGAAGCCATGTTTGCTCCCAAGATGATTTGGGCCCACTTGCATCAATGCACTTCTACAGTCTGCCACTTAAACATCAAGTCTGATGTCGGAGTCTAGAAAACTTCTGTTCATTCAACTAAGCTCAGCTGATTATAGTCTAATAATACAGAAAAAGTTGCGTGTCGCCAAGTTTGGACTAGTAGATTCAAAAGTTTTTGTACAGGCTGCTAGTACTTGTGTTACTCTAGCGCAAAGAGTGGGCATTCCAATACTGGTAGTACTAAGACTGACTGACTTATGCTAGTGGATCACGAACATCAGATGGAAGGATGTGCCTATATTGTCTGAAGTCATGAATAATAAGCATTTATGTTGAATCTAACAGTAAACTAGTCTTTTTACAATGTGTTCCTTTATTTTGTTTACTCAGTAATTGTTTTTATGTAAGTGCAAATTTTGTTTTGTGTGGAGTAAACTTTAATTCCATGATTAAACTGTTTTCAATTTCTAAAAAATGAATTTATTTTGAATATTGAATTAAAGTGAAGTAGTTACATTATAACACTTTGAATTTCCTGTTCTTAGTGTGATAAAATGATATGCAGGTGTTTGATCAAGGCTATTTTGTGCGTAGGCGTGGCTACTATCCTGTGGATGACACTGATCCTTTCCTGCCACGCCCCCCACCGTATGAGAGCTACGGCACGATGCGGAGTTACGAGAGGGAGGGGGGAAATAGCATCCCCAGCCTCGGTCGGAGAAGTTTGTGAGTACCACTGAACATTGTACACTTTGCTATTGTCAACATTCAGCTTATGTTGCTACAACTTGATGCAACACTTGGAATCCATTGTACAATTGCAGCAAATTTTGTAACTCAACAACTGTATCATTTGGTTAACTTGCCTGACGATACTCAGGTTTGTTCAAAACTATTTCCTTCTGGAAGTGTATTGTGAAAGCTTACATGCTTTCAGTTGACACTGAAAATGAAACAATTTCACTCATATTTGTGGCATTTGGATATTCAAAATATCATTGGCAGGTTTATTTTTGGAATATTTGTTTAACCTTGTAGTCTGCAGTTTCTGTCTGGGCTTTTGAAGTCCTTTTGCTTTTGAAGTTGTGCAACTAAGGTGCAAGATTTGTTCTGTTGTGCCTTTCTGCAGTTAAACTGCTTAGTTGATAATCTTGAGTATTTATTTCATTCTGCCAAATCTTTCTTTAGGATTTTGTGGTATTATAACGACCCCATACCTCATGCTAATCCTAAGAATCATAGTTGGAGGTTTCTTCATCAGGGATCAGAATGGCTCCAGAAATTGGATAATAGTTACATTGGTTACCGCTGATGAAGACATCTCACCTATAGCTGTCTTGTTATCTGATGAGAGTGGATCGATGCTCACATCAGCCATTGGTTTGTTGTTTCGAACTTGATCCCACCAGAAGGCTTGGCGCCACATAGTGCTGCACATATCCCAGGTCTCTCTAGCAGTTCCATCACAGGATTCATACAAACTTGAGAAGTGCTTGAATTTAAGCCTGTTCAGTGGAAAGTACATGATTTACAATTTGTTGAAGTGCTGGAGTTTTCATGGGAATGAAGCTCCCTAAATAAAATTTACAAAAATAATTATCAGTATAATTTCACAGCTTTGTTTCCTTCCCTGTCACTTACAAGATTGAGCAGACCGCCTCCGTGGTCTAGTGGTAGAGCGTATGTCCGGAGAGCGGAAGGTCCAGGGTTCGATCCCTGACCGCGTCATACCAAAACATGTTAAAAGATGGTACTTGTTACCCTGTCTGGCGCTCAGCATTAAGGGGCTAAAACAAGGACTGGTCGGCTCGGAGTCAGTGTACCGTCTGAGTGGGGTATTCATGTGAAACTGCGGCATGGTATCTCAGTGAGCTAGCACTATAAATCGGCATCAGTCCGGACTAGTACAAGCAGCCACACGAACACACACACGTACATGCATGTCGCTATATAAGTGCAATAATCTTGGACGTGACGTTAAACCCCATTTCCCCTCACCTACAAGATTGAGCAACGTTAAAACCGGGTACCCATTTAACAAACTGACAGCCAAACCGTGGGGGAAAGTTTCAGTTTTAGGGATGAACAAAATAAGTCCTTAGAAGCATGTTTTTCTCCTTGAAATCTATTTGAATGTTGAGCTGAGATCTGTTAAAAGCCTGCCATCAGTGATGGTGCTTGGTGGAACCGACTCCGTCTGTGAATATAGGTGTATTTGTAAGGAGCACAACACAGGCCAGAGTTTGTTGCTGTTTTGTTGGATGATTATGAGTGGCATGTTTTCTTATTTGACCTTTTTAGGATAGTTTTAGTTTTATCATTATATATTGCAAATCAGTCATGCGAATCTGTTGAACTTTGATTTAGAGCTAGCGAGCAAGGATCTCGACCATTTTGGATAGAGGATACCACTGCAAAGTGAGTGAAGGTGTTTGCATGCCTCGTTATGTTATACAGGGTCTCTTTACTGTTGCTTGTTGTGTAGATTGTGCTATTTTCTATTTGTTTTTATAGGTTGTTGTTAGATACTTTTTCTTCTTTCTTTTGTTTCAAAATGCCCTATGTATACTAAGCTTGGTAGAGAGGAATAACAAAAACATATTTATCATGCTAATGTTCATTATTTCTATACATATGCGTGCGAGAGAGAGAGAGAGGTGTGTGTGTGTGGGTGTGGGTGTGGGTGTGGGTGGGTGGGTGGGTGGGTGGGTGGGAGAGTGTGTGGGTGTATGTGGGTGTGTGATATGAATGCCTTAAAGCTGCAACTTGTGTATCTATCTTCCTTCATGCTTTTGGGGCAGTCGGGTAGACCAGTTCTGGTGTCCCCTGTCGTGATATTGCTGTAATATTCCTAAAAGCAGTGTAAAGCCATACTCACTCACTCACTCCTTCATGCTCCAGGCCTGCGACACAAGCATACAATGCTTTTGACCCACATACTGTTTAAAAACAATCTGATTACCAATCAGAGTTAGCTGAAGAAGGAAATTGCAATGTATTGTGTCAGATAAGTATACTAATGTTTTATCTGTAAGGCCTTGATGTACACCAGATTTGTTTCCCTTACTTCGAAAGAGCAATGCATAACTTAAGTGCATCAAACAGCAGTGAATTTGGTTCAACAAATACTGTAAATCTTGAAATTAACCCGAGCGTGAATTAAATGCGAAAAATGCAAGTGCTTGCATTATTAAACATTGCATGTATATCAACAATAACACAGTGTCTGTGTTCTTTGACACAAGCCAGCGCGCATGTATTGTTTTAGCGGAAGTACTCTACTCAGCGCTAATAAGCGGGGCTATTTGTTGTGTGATTGGATTAATGTGAGGTTGGATTAAGGTTCTCCTGTAAACCTGACAGAGGACATTTTTGTAAGATATAAATCCACGCTCGGGTTAAACAATATATCATCCAATATCTTCACTCCAAAACTTAAAATACCAAAAATAGACACAACACTAGCCGATACACTAAATAAACAGACTGATCCTAACATCGCTAAAACCACCACACTGGCATACATACACGAAAATTGGCCAAATTGGTGTCACATATACACAAACAGATCCTCAGATCCGATCTCAAAACACACAGGTTTCGGAGTCCACATCGCACAACCAACCAAAAACGCCCAATCTTACCGACTCCCAAACAACCAATCCATATTCACGGCCGAACTCATGGGCTTGGCCTCAGCACTACACAATCAGCAATCTAAAAATCACCAAAACATCCTCATCCTTACCGACTCCCTCAGTGGACTACAAGCCCTAAAAAATAAGAACACTAAAAACCTAACAAATCAAATACTCGAAAGCTCAAACAACTTAACTAAGGCAGGTAAACAAATAGAGTTCATTTGGATCCCTGCCCACGTAGGAATCTTTGGAAATGAAAACGCAGATAAAGCAGCAAAATTATCCCTTAAACTCCCAGAAATAAGCTTAAACTTACCCAGCTCAAAATCAGAAATCAGAAGTGTCACTAAACAAAAAATCAACAAAAAATGGCAAAATATATACCAAAACTCAAATAGCCAAATCAGGAAAGTACTCAAAAAAAACTAACGAAACCAAAAATACTACACCCATCCAAAAAAATCGACAGAATATTTACTAAATTACAAACAGGCCACACCAAACTAAATAATCACCATAAATAGCTAATCCACACACACCAGGAAACTGCCCACATTGCAAACAACAAGAAACACCAGAACATGTACTCATTCACTGCACACACTACCAAACACACCGAACAACACTACAGACCACCCTAAATCTTAAAACCGCACTTACACTAGAATCAATCCTAAATCCAAAAAATAAATTAGAAATATTCAAAGCCTTAGGCATATACCTAATTAAAACAGGACTAATTAGTCGCATTTAAACCCCAAATAAAATGTTATAACCAAAACTACCTTATCTGACATCCACCCAACACACACAGCTCCCTTAGTTCGTCCTCCACCCACTCTTGGCATTCATTCCAAATCTCAAAATTTCAAAATTACTATATAAGCAACCCCTAAAGCCCCCCTCCTGGGTTGCACAAACTCACTTTTCCCCTTTTCGGAAACACATTAAATGGCCTGGCCGGGCCCGTGTGCGACATACGCTTGCAGTCGGAAAGCGCACGTTAAATCTCCAATATAAGTAAGTAAGTAATAGGAGGGGACACATTTACACAGACGGATCCTCAGATCCAATCTCCAAACACACAGGTTTTGGAGTCCACATCACACAACCAACTAAAGCCACACAATCCTACTGACTCCCAAACAATCAATCAATATTCATGGCCGAACTAATGGGCATGGCCTCAGCCCTTCATAATCAACAATCTAAAAAACAACAAAAAATCCTAATACTTACCGACTCGCTCAGTGGACTACAAGCCCTCCAAAATAAAAACACCAAAAAACGCCCTAAACTAATAAATCATATACTAAAAAGCTCAAACGACTTAACTAAGGCAGGCAAACAAATAGTATTCATTTGGATCCCCGCCCATGTAGGAATATACGGCAATGAAAACGCCGATAAAGCAGCTAAACTATCCCTTAAAATCCTAGAAATAAGCTTAAACCTACCCATCTCAAAATCGGAAATTAAAAGTGTCAACAAACAAAAAATGGCATAATTTATATCTAATCTCAAAATTTCGAAACCGCAATATAAGCAACCCCCAAACCCCCCCTCCTGGGTTGCAAACATCACTTTCGCCCTTTTCGGAAACACATTAAATGGCCTGGGCGGGCCCGTGTGCAAAATACGCTTACAGTCGGAAAGCGCACGTTAAATCTCCAATATAGGTAAGTATGTAAGTAAGAGGAGGCGATCCGTGCGCGAAATAAGCATATGTCGGAAAGCGCACGTTAAATTCCTAATTTAAGTAAGTAAGAGGAGGGGGTGTCGCATTCATATTGAGTCACATTTTTGGCTAGGGGCCAGCAGTCGCATTCTTTTGGAGACGCATTTATTTCATGATTTACTTCTAGTGTTTGTTTGCTATTGCTTGTCTTGGGACATCTGCTTTTGTTGCTCTTCTTAAAACTTGTATCCAATAACCAAATTCTTGACCTCTACCTGGTACATCCTATTGTTGTAGTTCACAGTGTAGGGATTCCTGGGTGGAATTGGTTTCTTGTCTCTCATGCTTCTTGTAGCTAGCTAATGAAGAACACATGATAAGGCATTGTGACTTGCCCAAGGGCCTGAGTTGTTGGCATTTTCATCATTTACAGAAGATAAAATGCAGATACATGTACATATTTGGAAACATTGTTTTACTCCACTAAATAACATGACAGCTAGAGGCTGCTACAGTCCATAGCTTTCTATGTAAGTTCAGTTGGGCAAACTTTATTCTTATGTGGTGTTGCAGGCATCAAATCATCTGATTGACCAATAACATTCCAGTAAATTAGCAAAGTTAATGCCAAATTCATGATGAAATGTTTATCATGAACTGTTTGTTTCAGAAGTGTTAATGAAGAGTCTGGAGCGACCTTGAACTTGCCAATGGGGGAATCCCCTCCTCCCGCAGTAAGTATCTCTACATAGATGACACCCATGTCTTAAGATAATTATGGCATTGACAGTTATTTTTATAACAATGTTTAGTGCTTACCTGTGCAAACAGTAGGACTGTTAGGTGTTTATTAAAGGTGACATTGATCTTTGAAACATTGGCTGAAGAGGTTCAGTGTCAAAATGCAATTCCTGTAATACATTATTTTCAATTGAGGATGTGTTTTTTTTAAAACCCAAAGCAGTTTTTTAAAACCATAAGCATTGAAAAACTCAGTCCTGTTTAAATATCTGATAGATTGAGGATAACTTGGACCTACATGTCAGACCAAAACACCTGGGTTCCATTGGCCACATATGTAGCCCATTCCTGGTTTCCCCAACTAAAATTACTGGAAAGCTCTAAAAGTGGCGTTAACCATACTCACTTGCGCTCTCTTTCATCCAAATCATGACAACATGACAATTACCAGTGCCATGACCAGTAGCGCTTCACCCATCGCGCTTGGCTTGTAGCTGCATTTGCCTATCACCCTAATTAATTATTTCTGTAATTTGCTCTGAATTTCGTTCTTTTACTGACTGATCTGAAAGAAAGAACTGCTTGTGCTTCATATATATGAAGTGGTTGTAACATACATTAACTTCATCATATATGTTAGATTTCATTTCAATAAGAAAAATATATCTAGGATTTTTAAGGTTAATTTTCCTGTATGATTTTATTTTAACTTGTTTTATTGTCGAGAAAGACAAAGGGCTCTGACACAAATTTAAATGGTCATCTCCATATTTTGGTGACATGTCCAGTTTCTAAATAGGGGTATATGGATTCATAAATTGAAAATATGATGAGCCTTAATTATCTTTTTCGTGTGGATTCCTGGGCCCAATATTTACATGCAGTGCCTCATGTTTGTCAAAGCCTGTTGTGGATGAGGCCATGGCACTGCTGATCTGGCTGAATGTGACGTCCCAAATAGTGTGGGCTGTTGCTCTAGCTATTGACCACTGGTTTACACTCCATTTTCACAGGCATCAATTATAATGTTCTGGTGTTCTCATCTCCATGCTCCAGTAGAATACAACTAATCAATTGTCAGTTGTTCAAGATATTTACAATAATGGTGGCGGTGTTGATGTTGAGAGCTTTAAAGAATGAAATATTGGAGTGCTTAAAAGACAGGGAAAATAAAGCATTGGATAGAGTTACTTACTCTCTGTTAATATGCTTATGATAGAATACAGCACAGATGTTTTTATGTCACAAGGAATTCTTTAAACATGTTACTGGCTGGGTGGGTTGGTGTGTACTCACTCCAACCAATGGATCAGCTTTAAAATGAAAAGTAGTTGGAGGGAGGTGAGAAACACACATAAAATACAGATGCGTCCATTTTCACCATTTTGTAGTACCTTCTGTTTCCAAACATTTTAAAAGGCTTTGTTTTCCTCATTTTATACAATCATGCTCTCCCTGCTATCCTGTCCCTCCTGCAGCCTTCCATGGCCGTCTGACCAGAGCATAGCTGCTGTATGCATTCTAACATGCATGGCTTGGATAGTGGCAAGTTATATATGCTGTACTTTTGTTTACATGACTTTCAGTACCACCCTGGGAGGTACAGCAGCATGCAGCAGTACAACAACCTGGCCCCCCACCCCGGGGCCATGCAGGGCTCCAGTGAAGCATGAGGCAGCCAGGAGACAGGGGATCACATGGCTGCCATGGGATGTCATGGGATGTCAGCAAAGACACTGACCCATCCGATGGGTTGAATTTATTGTTAGATATATTTTGAGCTCAGAAATGTAGTCATTACATTGTCTAACATATATTGATGTAGATATTTTTACACTTTTAATTCAATAGATTAAGTAAAGAATAGTTTACATTAGACATATTTTAGTTATTGACCTTACATAAATCACAGTATTTTCTTTAATCTTTTGCACCTTTTGTCCTTTGACATGATAAGATATGTTCCTGATTTACCCAACATTGTGTAATGTAGCTATAGTTTGTGATGGAAGACACTGATGACGTTGTAACCTCATGAGTATCTGGTGTTGCCCATCATCATGAGATTGCTGCCTACTGCTGACCTAAGGACACCAAATACTGAATCCTGCTCATAACTTGCTCATGTCAATGTGCCACGAGGGACCAGTGATTGTGTCACCCATGTCTTGTTAGGCTGAAGTGATTCACCGACGTCTGCTTCGCAGTACTCAAGTTGGTTAGTCGGACTGATCATGCAATGGTGCTAATACAACATGAAGACATGACATCAGAAAAGGATTGGGGAAAAAAGAGTTTTATTGGTAATAGTTTTAAAGTATGATATCAAATCATGTGCTTAGGGTATCATTTCAGTCCAAATTATATCACTGAATCCATGAGAGCGTGAATTGGTTCCTATGTCTACCTCCTGGGTACCCGTCATGAATGCTTCATTTAATTTACTATTAACAGTAACTTGCTTATGAATTCTACAAGTTGAAGCAAGTGAAACAAGTGGCCATCTGTTATATATTTAAAGACAAAAGACTGTCTGACTCTGTGAAGTTCCAGGGAGGGTGTGTCTACAGAAATGTGAAGTACAGCACCCTATAGTTTATTGCTAGATATAAGACTGTGATTTTGATGTACTTGATGATGAGAAGAACTGGATCTGTGTGTGAACCATATCTACCTACACCAGCCGTGTCTACAGTACATGGCACCCACCAGCTGTGTCTACAGTACATGGCGCCCACCAGCCGTGTCTACAGTACATGGCGCCCACCAGCCGTGTCTACAGTACATGGCGCCCACCAGCTGTGTCTACAGTTCATGGCGCCCACCAGCCGTGTCTACAGTACATGGCGCCCACCAGCCGTGTCTACAGTACATGGCGCCCACCAGCTGTGTCTACAGTACATGGCGCCCACCAGCTGTGTCTACACTACATGGCACCCACCAGCCGTGTCTACAGTACATGGCGCCCACCAGCCGGGTCTACAGTACATGGTGCCAACAGCTGTGTCTACAACAGCCATTATTGTCCTATGGATCTATCATTCTTCACCATTTTCACCGTGCTAACAACAGCATAAACTTGATGTTTCATCAATGAGTTAACTTTGTTTTGTCCAACCATTGTCACAAGGGCCACAACAAATAAAGTATTACTTTTCCTTCCAAATCTTTAAAAAAAAAATTGAAGCTGGATGAATTTTGCTGACTTTATTTTCTATTTTATTAATCCAACTGTTCCTGGGCAGAGACTGATTGGTGAATGTTGCCATACCTGACCATTGTATGATTCCATGGACTAAAGAAACAAGGCATTGCACAAAGTGATTTGCTCCATCTGTAGGCACTTGGGACAGTGAAGTGAGGTGGGATAAAAATCTATTAATTATTTTCTCTATGGCCTTGTTGGGGGCCCAGTCGTCTAAGGCGCCACGATTCGCTGTGCAGAGTTGTGTCCCTTGGGCATGCCAGAAACCTATGATTGTGGGTTCGAATCCTGGTTCGCCCCGATTATGTTTCTAGGTTTGTCAGCACCATACCCATGCTCGTGGGTTTCACCAAAGTGGTAAACGTCTGAGACCTGCATCACTTCGGGCTTTCCTCCCACATTAAGCTGACACACCGCGATATAACTGGAATACTGTTAAAAGCGGCGTTAAACCCAACTCACTCACTCACTATGGCCTTGTGATGTTGGTTAATGTCGATAACCAATTGTTGTCTTCATGTACTGGTATTCAGGTATGAGTTAGCAACGTTTCACTGCCAATGTGTGAATAATAATTGGGATAGTTATGAAACTAGTGATTGTAAGATTACTTCCATTGTAGGTTTGAGACTTTTATTGTTTGATGAGGTACTACAGATAAATAGGATTTAAAACATGACTGACAAGCATGTTGGTGACTAAGTCATGTGTTGCATATGAAGATGCTCATTGCACACATTTAGAAATCACAAAATAGAGTACCGGGTTCATGTAGGAAGCTTGTCATGCCCAAGCTACAGTGACCTTCCTTCATGTATGCACACTTAGCTCTTCAACAAAGTAGATATATGACACAGGGTTAGAGATAGCCACTAGTCTTCAGACTTGTAAAAATCTGGAAGAACCACTCGACTCTGAAGATATGTTTAGAATATATATATATGTCCCAAGTCAAAATGACTTGTCTACTCCCCATGGACTCCTATGGACATGGGGATGTCAGAGTATCCCCATCTACTGTTGAGATAGTTTATATCATAAATAGGAGATAAATATGTAAATATCCTCAATCAGCATGGCTGGAAAGTGGACTCTTCCATCATATTACATCTTAAAAGAATTTAAGACAATCCTTGTGTATGTACAAACCCAGCTTCAGCATTGCTAGAATCACCTCCAAGTGGACTCTTCCATTTTTACCATGTCTGTATATGCATAGTCTGTTCCTGGATTCTTTGTCCTAAGAACATGCTGTTTGTTTACTGCTATCTATTACTTACATTGATGATACCCAAAGATGATTGTTGTCCAGTTTATTGTTGAATTGGTATGTCTTGTGTTGTGTACATAATAATTGCTCACTTTGTATATAGTGTGTTGGGGTATGCATCTGTGACGTAGTGGGACACGTGATGTGCTGTTTTCTTCGGAAGATGCTGTATCAGCTTGGAGATTTGCATAAATGTAAGACATAATGAATACAAGATTTGCTGTAAAAAGCACCTGCTCCAACCAATGCCACTGACCAATCAACAAGTAATTGTTATAAGTGCCCCCTACTTAGAAAATTTACATAATCCATATTTTATATGTGTCCATTAATGATTTTGTACAGAAACAGCAGCCTTGAAGGGGTATATGATTGCATAGTATCTATTATCATAAATGTTTTATTTGACATTTGAACAAAGCTTGTTTGCTGTGACTTGATTGTATATGGCTTTGATAAGCACCCTCCTTTGTCAGTTTCTAAGTTGGGAGAGCACAGGATAAGAAGTGTGTGATTGTGGAGTGGAAAACAGACTGAGGTCATCACATTATTGTGGGACATTGTTGTGACATTGTGTGTTTCTGCCACTGATCATACAGATAAGTACATGAAGTTAAATAAGTTGTTCATATTGGTCAAAACTGTTGTCTCATCTGTGATTCTTGGTTTGTCGGTACTCCACCCTTCTCGTGGGTCTCCACAAAGGGTTTATATAGACAATTTGCACAACTCTGGGCTTTTCTCCCACATTAGGGACGGTCGGGTAGCCTAGTGGTTAAAGCATTCGCTCGTCATGCCGAAGACCCAGGGTCGATTCCCGACATGGGTACAATGTGTGAAGCCCATTTGTGGTGTCCCCCGCCGTGATATTGCTGGAATATTGCTGAAAGCGGCTCCCACATGGACGTGCCAGGATATAACTTAGATACTGTTGAAATTGAAACCAAGATATTTCTGTTAGGATGTTGCACACAGCAACATCAGTCTCAAGTGATGGCACCTGTGGCTACAGTAGAATGGCTGTCTGATGGATTGCCAGTATTCTCTCAGCTTCACAGAGATACACGTGAGGCAGGAAACACTGAGAGACATGTTCCTTGGTTAAGTCTACAGTTTTGTATTTTTTGTGCATGGGGCATTTTCCTCAAACCTTCTTTAGGTACATTAGCTCAGTAGCCTAGCTTTATTTCTAATTGTAGGTGGAATATTCAGGATTGTTTTGGTTAAAATGGCACAGGGACAATAATCATTCACATCAGCTTCTCTTTGATGGTTGCTGGTGATGGCTTCAAATTTGCTGATGTAGCAATAGGCAGTATTCACTGTGTTCAAGCTTTCATTCACTTGCCTCTTTATAAACTTGATTGACTTGCTATAAATATGTTTCCCAGTTCTGTAGAGTTAATCTTCAGAAGTCATTGTCTCTGTCAGTGATCAAGACATTTTGTGAATAGTGTAACAGAGCCGTCTCAGTTTGGTGATGGATGTGGTTTGGAAATATATGGGGGTATGGGGATACACAGTGCATGTCATTTGCTAGAGTTAACTTTGTTCAATATGGCTGAGAGTTATAGACAGCTACAATTACTGTTTGTCTTGCGTTACAGTTACAGTGTGTTTGTTGTGAACATAGTGATATGCCTCCATTTCATGTCGATTGTTTTATTTTGGGAAATTTCTGAATAATGTCAAATTGTACTTAACAAAATCATATAAATGTTGATTTCATTATGACAGTTAAGGTCAGAAATTTAGTTTCCTTTGTCATTGATATTTTATTTCTAAGTCGCTTTTACAGGTAAAGGTCAGAAATGTTGGTGCAATGCTAAAAAACAAGGTCTTGAATACGGGACATTAAAGCTTCATAGTTCACAAGTATAAATAATTAGTCTGATAATTAATTTGGATATTTTAGTAATATTGTGCAAAGTGATTTGAAGTTTCTGACATTTTAAGTACATGGTTGACATATTCTCAAGTGTATATTTTTTTTTATAGATTATCATGATTTGATTAGTTTTTTATTTGCGAATTTGTGTGTCATTTCTATGTATGTATCTTAAACATATGTTGTAGCTTCCTATTGTATAATACTCATGTTGTGCTAGTGCTGCCAGTATTAGGGCTGCTGTTGTGTATATAGAGACTTTCTAACAGGGCTTTCATTGTAGAGCTGTGCATGCTACTTACCTGCTGGCCAGTTGGACGACACTGTTTGAACCACCTAGTTCAGAGTGAAGCCAGAATCTGGTGGAAAAATTACATTTGAAATTGATTCTTAACAGTACTTAGAAATGTTTTGTTTGTTTCTTTGTTTATGCCACACTCAGCAATCTTCCTGCTAATTTGACCCGTGAAGATTCCGGGGTAAAATAGGTCTTCAGCAATCCATGCTTGCCGTAAATGGTGACTATGCTTGTCGTAAAAGACGACTAACGGGATCGGGTGGTCAGGCTCGCTGACTTGGTTGATGCTTGTTATCGATCCCAATTGCGTGGATCAATGCTCATGATATTAATCACTGGATTTTCTGGTCCAGACTTGATTATTTACAGACCGCCGTCATATAGCTGGAATATTGCTGAGTGCGGCTTTAAACAACAAACTAACCAACCCACCAATCCTGCTAACTTGCAGGTATGCTCACTGCCCAAAGAAATGCGAATACCCTACATGTTGGTTAGTATATGAAGCGTTACTCCTATTCAAGAGATATAAGATTGGTTGATGCACAAATGAACATACTTCTGTGAACCAACAGATGCACCATTTGTCTCGTGCAGGATTAGCATATAAATCACGTGCACCATATTGTGATGAGGACAAAGACTGTGGTAACACTTGGCTGATTGTTAGTTTTGTCATTAAGTGGTATACATTGGAAAAATCTCTTCTTAACATACATACTTTTCCATATGTTTCTATGGCCTGCGTTTCTTTTGGTGGTGAGTATATGATACAGACCAAACGTCAATAATCTGTCATTCAGTCATATCTGTGTGTAATATATATCCCGCCAGACCCCCCATTTCTGTTCCAGTAATTACCCATTCTTGAGGTAGTGTACTTAATATTGTAAACAAGTACCGCTGTGTTGCAAGGCTGTCCCAGCTGGTCATAGGGTCGATCAGTTTATAATTGTGTTTGTTATTTTTACCATTATAGGCAGTTTCTGCAAATTGTGCTACAGCTTCTGCTCACTTAATCAATATGCAATGGCCAGCAGTCACGGCAATGTGTGCCACCAGCATCGCATCATCCTTGGTACTCTTGCTAATGCAATTTACCAGCCATTTCTTTTCCGTGTTTATGTAAGACACTCTACAAATATCCTGGATGGTATATATTGATTTTGTACCCCACTGTACTAACACTGATTCTTGAACATACAATGAAGGGTCCTTTACACCTTGACTGTTGACTAGACATTGATATTCATACAGTCAAGCTAGATCTGTCGTGTTAATTTTTATCCTTATTATCCTTATTATTATCAGTATGGATGAATGTATTTGGTAGGATCCTATGACAGGTGCAAAGTACACCCAATTATTTTCAAGGTTTTATATCAGTGGACACTTGACATGTGACAGTCACCTCATTATTCATCGATTGATTTTTGCTTTCTTATGCATTTTCTAGTCAGTCACCAGGATGCAATAGATATGTTTATTTTTGCAACAGAAATACTTCATAAATGTTTAAACCATTCAGT